CTTGGGGCTGGCGGTGGCAGCGCTGGGGTCGGTGCGGCCGTTGGAGGGCCCGGCCGGTGAGAGCCCGCGGCTGTCAGCGCTTCCAGCCCTGCGGCCTTCCCCGCTGACCCGGAGGGGTTCGCTGTCCGCCTTGAGCAGCGGGAGAAGTGCCCCCAAACCGCAGCGAGAGGATTGGGAGAGAATTTATTCCTTTTTTTCCAAAGCCCGAGGTGCTCCCTTTGGTCCGAGGTCCTTTATCCCGAGTCTGGCAGCTGCGAGCGGGCCTGGGGAGTTGCTCCCACCTGGGGCTGCGGGTCTGTGCTTCAGCCCGAGAAATCCCCTCAGCTCCGCGGAGCTCAGCACGCCCAGAGCCTCAGCGCTCTCCTGGACAGGGTTAAAGTCCTCTTGCTCCTTCCCTCGGGAGCCCACAGGCCTGGTTTGCAGGCGTGAATCACAGGGCTTCCTACCGAAAGAAAACACTGCAATGTCTTCAACTCCGGCCTCATTTCCAGCCTCTTCTCCTTATTTTGTGAGGCAGAAACATCTTGCGTAAGAGTTGGGAACGAGAGGGGCAGCCTGTCCTGCAGGGAGGGACTGGAGCCAGCCCTTCCCGGTACCAGGGCAGGACCGGGCTGCCTGTGGAGCTCAGAGGCTCCCCAGGGATGGATGTGTGGGTGGAGTGGCCTGTGGAGGAGCTTTGCTCTGTGCGTGTGTGTGACAGAAATAAAGATTCCACTTCTGGCGGAAGAAAAGCGATTTCTCTTTAAGGTGGCTCTGAAAGACAACAACATCTGGAGGAAGGCCATTGTTTCATAGAATCATGGAATGATTTTGGTTAGAAGGGACCATAAAGATTATCTTGGCCAATGGGCAGGGACACCTCCTACTAGACCAGGTTGCTCCAAGCCCCACCCCAAAGCCTGGCCTTTCATGCTGCCATAAATCTCTCTAGGCTGTGCAGGAGGCAGCACGGAATTCAGAGCTGTGGAGTGAGTGCCCACCAAAACATGCACTTTTTTTGTCTTTTGAGTAAACCCACATGAAATGACCATGTCACTGTGCTTCTGAGGCAAGAGGAGAGCCCTGTGGCTGAGGTGGGGGTGTTTCAGTGTCTGTGATGTGGGAGGTTCAAGCAGCCCCTTGAGCTACCCTTGGAGATGGCACAAGGGATTGTGAGAGGAGAGGCTTGGATGCAGTGGAGCTTGTAAGCCCAGGGATAAATGACTGGTGTTTCTGCAGCTCAGTTGTTATTACTGGTCTGTCCTGTAATCAGTTCCATGCAGCTTTGATGCTGTTCTTTTCCTCAGAGTTTTGATCTTCCCATTGGTCTTATGGAAATAATACTGGGTAACAGTTTGAGATTCTGTATTTGAACTCCTGTCTGTAGTGAGAACTACCCTGGATAAGAGTTTTCTCTTACAAATGACAGATGTATCACATTGCAAGGTGGTTGTGCTCTGGAGGAGGTTCTAATTCCCTTTCTCTGAGTGCTCTGTTACATGTCACATGCTGTGTCTGCACTGAAGGGTTAAATGTCATTTCAGAAGAACCTGAAGACAGCTCCAGCAGGAGAATCCCAGAATAGTTTGATTTGGAAGGGACCTTAAGGCTCATCTCATTCCACCCTGTGCCATGTGCAGGGACACCTCCACTGTCTCGGGTTGCTCCAAGCCCTGTCCACCCTGGCCTTGTACACTTCCAGGGATGGGGCAGCCACAGATTATCTGAGAAACCTGTGCCAGGGCCACACCAGTCTTGGTTTGGGTTTGGATTGCAATCTGTGTCCCTCGAAGGGCCCTGGGGACATGCCAGGAGCAGAGGTGCCCCAGTGTCAGACAGGGATGGTCTGCTCGGGTCAGTGTCCCCAGCCAGCTCTTGGCTGTGAAATGATGTCAGGAAAGAGATGTGAGCTGCAGATGACCCAGCAAAATGATGCAGCATGCAGCCTGAGGGTCTTTGGGAGAGCACAGCTCATTTTAGGAAATCTTACATGTTATTTCTTCTTGTTCTTATGTAAGTGGGACTGCAGAAAAAGGAACAAATGACCCGAGACTGAATGTCACAGCAGGTGACTGCCCAGTGAGTTTGCTGCAGTGTCACACTGTGCATGGGATCAAAACCCAACAGTCTGCTCATGGGAAATAGCTGTGATGGGAATGTTGCATCTTATTCAGAGCAAAACCTGGCTGTTTTGTCTTCATTGCTTGCAGCTTGGGGTTTCAACACTTTCGGGCTGACAGGAAAGAAACCTCTGAGGTGCTTAAACTAACCAACCAAACAGAACTAAACCAGCCAAATGCTGTGTTTGTGTTCCTAAAATGTCCAGTCAGAACCTGATTTCATCATTCTGTGGAAGATAAAAACGTGTTGAACATCAAATCTAAGTTATGGTATATTGTTAGAAATTTTCTGGGAAGAACTGGTGCATGGTGACATTCCAGATGCCACGGGTCAGTGTTTTATGAGTGGAAAATGAGTTAAACCTTTCCAATGCACAGATCCTTAAATGGTTTCTGTCACCAGTCTTCATCCACCTGACTGTCTGTGGTTCTCTGTGCTTGTCAGGCAGTTCTGTCTGACTGCTGCTGATGGTGTTTGTCCCTTGGGTTTAGCTGTGCAAGTGTCGCTGGTTTGAGACAGATCAGATCTGTAAATCTGCACTGTGGCTTCAGGAAACAGGACAGTGAAGGTGAGTTAAGCTGTGTTTGTCCTGTCCCTGTTGTTACTGTGGTACAGAAAAGGGTGTTCTCTCCCCCTCAGCTTGGGTTGGGGACTGCTCCCAGCTCATCCCACGGCTGGGGGAAGCAACCTTTAAAGCTTGGGAGCCCTGGAGTCTGAGATGCAGATCCTGGCTGTGCTGCCACACTCCCCGGCCTGTCTGGGTTCAGTTTGGGTTTGTCACATGTCTTCTAATTATTTCTCATTCTACAAAGTCTCTCTCCCATGTTTTCTCCCATCCCAGATCTATGGCATGTGGCGTGTGTCACACTGCAGCAATGCAGAATCCTGTCACTGCCTGCTCCCTTGAAAGGTGCCTGCATGCGTTAAACTTCCCAGCTGAATTATTTTGTGTCCTCTTCCAGCAGGAGACAAGATGTCGGCTGCTAGAGGACAGTAAAACCATCTCAGATGCACAGTATCATTTTCTGCTTGTCTTCAATTAAACTAATTACCAGCCCTCTTTGTTGTTCCGAGCTCAGGCCATTCCACATGCTGCCAGCATGTACTTTGGCAGCAGCGGGCGCTGGGATTTCCTGCATTGTTTGAGTCTTTGCCATTGACCTTTGTGGTCCTCGTTCTGGCACCGCCTCTGCTCTGGCAGAGGTGCAAAGGGCATTATTCAAACCCTGAAAGAAAAGAGAGAGAATTGCTTTATAGGCTTTGAGAGCTCTTTGTACTCAGTGGCTCCATAGGGTCATCGCTGCAAAAAAGAGGAGAATTACTGGGGTTGTCTGGATAATTACTGCTTCTTTATTGTTCTCATCCCAGTCTAGATGACAGTGCTGGGATTTATAGTGAGTCATACAAATATGCCATCAATGCTGTTAGGTGTTGCCCCTTTTGGACAGAGAGGGGAGAAAGCTGGGTTTGGTTCCTTTTGGGAAGTCTCATAGGTGCTGGTGTGCCCTGGATCTATCCCAGCTCTACACTGGGAGGCTGCTGGGGACCTGCTGGAGAGGCCAGTGGGATTGTACTGGGGCCCTGTTGCAGCCCATGCTGAGGGTGCTGGTTTTGAGAAGATCCCCCTCTCCATGCTGCTGGAGTTGGGCACTCCAGGGACACACGAGCCACCTGCCCCAGCACAGGAGAGGTCACATAACTCACTCTGCCACTGTCCCCATTGCTGTGGCTGTGGCTACTCCACACCAGTAAAACATTTGCTCAGCCTGTGCCTGGAGCTTTGTACTGTGAAGCTGCTCAAGGCCTGATGCAGTAAAAGAGCAATGCTCAGCTCGGGGCAGAGGCTGAAAGCACCACTTGATCTGTTCCCCTTTCCATCTGGAGCCTTCCTACCCATCAGGTGCTTGCTGCTGGTCTGGGAACAGCCAGCCTCATGTAGGCATCCCTGGTGTGGCTGGTGGGCTGATGAGAAGGGCAGATGAAAGCCTTGAAGTAAGATCTTTGGAATAAGATGCAACTTCTGCATTATTGATTTGTTTGCATGGTATTGTGCAGGTCGAATTAAATTATCTGGAATGATATCCTGTACTTGATGTAGAACAAATGCCAGAGTGCTCAGGTTGGAGTAAGTGCTCCTGAGTCCAGCAGGCTCTGAGGTTAAAGGGTTGACAATGCCAGGCTGACCTGCTGATTCTGTGCCTCAGGGCTGCCTTGCCATCAATCTGTCCCCTTGTGATTTGTACCCAGAAGAGAAGAAGCCTCTGCAGTGGGACAGGGACAGCCTGGGGAGCCACAGCTGCCTGAAGGAGCAGGAAGGAAACATCTTGTGTTTCACAGAGCCTGTAAATGAGCTTGGGTAGGAACGTGAGACACAGTGAGCCCTGTTGCTGTTGGAGTTGGAATCCCAGGCTCTCTGCACTGTGTTGGTGCTGACTTGAAGCTCTTTTCTGCTGGGGAAGTAAATGGCTGCAGTGGATAACCCAAACACGTGACTGCTGGGGCACAGTCATGGAAAATTGGCTTGGTTGTCGTGGTTATTTGCACTGATATAACTTTTCATAACACTGTCAAGCAGCTTTTTCCAAGCCTACTGGAATGTGTTATTCTTTATTTTTTCCCTTGTGGGAAGCACTATCAGAGAATCTGTATAAAACATGGATTTTTATTGTTGTTGTGGGTAATGACTTACAGGCTTCTCTTAACTGACAAGGGCTCATTCCCCCTACTTTTTATAGCAAATTAACACAGAACCCCTCTGCTTATTATAGTTGTAGCCCAAGGTTATGATTTGTAGCAGGAGAAGCTAAGATAGCAGTTGATAGCTCTTCCATGATGAAATCAAATTTGCTTGATTTTACTCTCAGCTCCTGCCTTGATTTTTCTCCAGGGAGGGAAGTCATTGCTCTTTTGCCTTCTGCAGGGCTGGGTTGCTGAACTTACCCAGTGGTTTCTCATGTAAGAAGGTGTTGGATAGCTTTGGTTTGTTCCTATACAGAATGTGTTGGTGTTTGTTTCTCTCTCTCCAGGGGAAGCTCAAGTGCACATTAGAGAACAGCCTTATGTTGGGATGTAAAGGTCACAAGTGTTTCCTTTCACCTCTGCAGCTGGGAGTCAGGCTGACACACACAGGAGAAGGCAATAAGTCTTTGTGACAAAAGAAGCTTTTGGGGTGTTTTTCTCGAGGGAGACCTGCAGACCAGTCAGTCCTTTCTGCGTGGGGTCTGTAGCCTTCTTTTTCCAGCTCCAGCAGGGTTGATTTTCTCCTCTGGAGAAAAATTGGTGCTGTTCCTGCATTCCACGGACTCTCCATTGCTCTGTGTGGGAGACCTCCGGCACCAGCAGTGTGTTGTGTCCAGCTCTGTGACAAAACACTGGTTTGCTCACCTGCCATTAAATATTTCCAGTGTGAATATCAGGTAGTAACAGAACATTTTCATTTGTGTTTTTAAAATATATTTCAAAATGTATTTTAACTTCTCTTTCCATTGTTGCAGGTGAAGGGGAAGAAGGGTGTCTGAATACTGATGAATGAGCTGTGATGGATAACAAGGACTCAGAAGCTGAGATCCACCCTCTGAAGACTGAGGATGTAAAAGCTCAGGAGAACCATGAAAACTTTGTGGAGAGGAGGATTGTCAAGACCTCGGGGCTGTCCCGGCTGTCCCGATGGCGCACTGCTGCCTTCTTCATCTCCCTGTTCCTCTGCCTGATCATTGTGTTCGCTTTCTCCTTTATCATTCCCTGCCCAGAGAGGCCAGTTTCAGAAAGAACATGGTTCCAATACTTCAACAATGCAGGTGAGCTTGCTGCAGCAGAATAAATACTTACCAAGAGTCCTTTTCCTTTCTGTGCCACGGATTTGGGTTGCGGGCCTCTATCTAAGCACAACGTGCAGCCAGACCTGCAGGGTTGCAGCCCTTGGGAGCCAGAGCTTTGAATACCTGACCTGGATAAGCAATGGCCCATCATAATTGGAGTGGCCTTCCAGGAGGTGTTTACAGGATCTAGTGGAGAAATTAGATGCTGCTCTGAAGTGCTAACAAGGTAGCAGGCTGGCCTCGTTCACAGAAAAAAAAAAGAAAAAAGAGAGAAAGGGTATCTGGGAATAAACCACTGTTAAAGCTTGCTCTTTAAAATGTTCCCTTGGAGTTTGAGCTGAGGTTGGAGGCAATTAGGCATTTTTTCCTCTGCCACTTTGACTTTCTCTCTTTTCCCCATGGCCGACAGGAAGGGGAGAAGAATAATTCCATCTTGTTTATTTAATAAATTGTTTTATATTTACTATATCTATTTTTATTCCGGTTGCTGTAGTTGGCTCTATAGGCTAGGTCCTGCTCCCCAGTGACTCGGCAATCACTTCTGGGAGAGCTTTTCTTTAATCTTGTGTGCAGTGGGTTGTGCTGGATGTGCTGTAAATGCAGAGATAGTGCTCACAGCAGGGATTGAGCTGCATGAGGTGCTGCAGACATCCCGGGTTCTGCTACTGTGAGCTCAGGAAAGCTGCTTTTAGCTGATAGAAAGATGGAGTATCTGGGTTTTGTGGGGCTTGGCTGAGGCTTCTTTATACTTTGGGAATAGTAACTTCACTCCAAGACCAGAGTTGTTTGTTCGGCGTAGTTCAAATTCTGGCTATTCGCCTCTTCAAAAAGACAAATCCTCTGGAGGATAGCAAATTTTAAAAATTGTTTGGCACTAACTTCCTGTCCTTAGTACTTGTGTACATGGCTTTTTTTAATATAAAAGCCAATTTGTCCTGATGTCCAGGATGGAGGCAGTGAGTAGGTCTCTAGGAATTTGTGTTTTCCTCCAACTTTGTCTGCTGTGGGCTAAGAAGATCCTCACCAGAGCCTGGCTTGTGTTCTCTTGCAGTGCCCTACCAGTTCCTTGTTTTAGAAGATGTGAATGAAGACAAAGTACAAGATGTGCTCTTTGCTTTCAAATCCAGCAATGGCAGCAGCAGCTTCAACGTGTCCTGTCTGGATGAAGGTACCCGATTCAAAAACACCTTCTAGTGAGGGCTGTCCTTTCTCTTCTAGATCCAGTTAATGACTGGGAGAGAAAACTGGGTGGGGAGAGGAGCTGGGTGAGTCCCAGCTCCTGGGTGGTGCAGGGTGGCAAAGGTGGGTGCAGGGACAGCTCCCTCTGACACCTCTTCTCCCCAGGGCTGCCGTCTCCCTGTGCCTTCATTGCTGCCATGTCAGGCACGAATGGCAGCGTGCTCTGGGAGAGCCCTGCTGCGAAGGACGTGCAGTGGCTGCAGTGTGGCATCCAGCAACTGGGCACAGCAGAGGCCCCGGGCTGCCTCGTGGTGGAGAAGCCACTGTCCCTTACAGCAGTCGACCTGCAGACAGGTGAGTGCCAGCAGAGCCCTGCTGCCACACAGGGGATGGATGGGCCACTTGCTGTCCTCACCTGGTGGCCTCCAGGGGGGACGGCAGTGTGACATGACTGGCTGGTACATGAACAATGGGCACTGGCTATTTATTATCTTGGAAACCTTGCCAGAGCCACTTGGCGTTGAGGAGCTCGTGCTCTCGGCCTCGCTGTTCCAAAGACTGGGCTCTGGTGGGCGTTTGTGCCAGCCACTGTTTTGTAAGACCAGTGTTCCAGCAGCTTTTGAAAGAGGAGGAGCAGTCACTAGCTGTGAATGTTACTTTATACTCTCCAGGGTGAGACACAAACCTGCACCTGCAACGTTTCCCAGTTATTTGTGTGTGCGTGCCAGGAGTGCCTGCTGTGGCAGGAGGAGTGGGAGTTCTAGGCATTTATGATTTTATAGTTGTCAGGGAGAGCACTCAGGATAAGTGCTTGCCAGTCTGTTTCAGTAGTCTACGCTTCTGCCTAGTTCCTCTGGAAAGGTTTCTTCCTTTCTAAACTTAGAGGTGGAGAAATTCATCATCATCATCTTGCCTAATGTGGGTGGGGGTAAGGAGTGCCTGTATTACTTTAGGAACAGTGATCATCTGCTGCACCTTGAACCCTCCTTGCTGGTGAAGCCTAAAATACATTTTGAGGAAAATCTGGTGTAGCTTTTAATTTCCAGTGTATAGATGGAAGTGTAGATGCACACAGAGCTAGAAAGTTTCTGTACCAACAGGGATATCTTAGTATCATTTTCCTCATGTGTAGGATTTAGCACAGGTTATTTTCAGACTATTAATGAAGTAGTTACTTTCAGGTCCAAGTGTAGAAAGTTGGCTGTGGAGCCAAAGGCTTGTCAGTAAAGACAGCCATAAAGGCATAAAGGCAAGTGTGGAGAGAAGGAACCAGGCTAGGCTACAGGTCACAGCAATACAGCAAAGAAAACATTCCATAGATAACTTGAAAGCAAGAGAGAAAAAAATGCATCAGATAGAAAAGTGAATAACCCAGGAGTTTATGTATTTGATGCCTTTTTTGCTATTAAGTAGGTTAAAAATAGTTTCTGAGCTTAGTTGACTGGGGGTTAGGAGGGCAGAGCAGAATAAAATGTATTTAAATAGGCTAAATGTATTCAAAGAGGCAAAGTCTAGCTTACATCACAGTGTGCTAAAAACAGTAGCCAGCACAATCTTTAGCTGTTAATGATTCATCATCGTGGAGGATTTGGTGAGATTCCAGGGCTCTCAGGCTGTCTAGCCCCTGTCAGTAGGAAGATTGAAGGAGAGATAGGCAGATTATCATCTGAACGTGTCTGATGTGGTTTTGATCTTTAAATGCTGATAAAGTTCATGTTTTTTTATCAGTTGAAGTTGTGTTAAGTCCTCCTTTCTTCATTGCCACAAGAAGTGACCCGAGGCAGGAAGGGAAGTGTAGGAGTGCATGCTCCTGTTTGTGTGGGACATCTAACATTCCTGCATGTTTATCTTACCAGCAAACTGGGACACACAGGAGCTTAAGATTAACTGTTCCAGGTCAAAGCAGAAGTCTTTGTAGCTGTGTATTATTCCATCTCTGCCATAGCCCGAGGCAGAGTCTCAAGGAAGAAGACAGGAGTAAGAGTTTTGTTACACCTTCTCTCTTCACCTGATCCTCCAGCAGCCTGAACTGTGAGCCCTGTGGGTGGTTCTGGTCTCCTGAGGGATTTGGCAGAAAGGGCACCATGATGATCAGATGATGGAACTGCATCTATGTGAGAAACCACTAAATAAATAAACCAGAACTCCAACCTGGAGAATGTCTGTCAGGGAGAAAAGTCTCTGTGTCCTCTGTGTCTGATTGAAGTGAGAGTCTTTGGAGTTCTGATTTTATTATTCCTTCCAGACCAAAAAAAATCTAACCCTTTCACCCAGGTTAGATTTGCAGTCTAGGCACTTGTCTGATTTCCATCTTGGCTCCTCGTGCCGTGCTGGTGCCGTGACCCCGGGCTCTGAGGAAGTGCGGTGGCACTGCAGATGTCAGACACGACGGCCCCATCTCCTGCTGATGGAGCAGGAGAGGGCTGGTTTCTGTGCTCTCTGGGCTGGGTTAGAGCATAGAAAACTTCTCAAGTGCTTGGGGTTGAATCCAGCTCAGTGTCACCTGTTTCTCTTAACTCAGACTGTTCTTTTAAGAGAATAAGATATTTTCTCCCAGACTCTGTCTGCTGTCTAACCACCACCAATTAGAACCTTCTGCACTGACAAGTGAATTTCATTATCCTGGTCTTACTCTTGTACCTTTGGACAGTCCTGAAGCTAGAATGTGGTAATTTAAAACTTCTCTTCTTCCTCTGCCTGCTTCTTTTCTTTGAGGGCAAAATTCTTTGCCTTCCCATGATTTCCTAAGGAAACTAGGAAATCTGCTCTCTTCACTTCACATCTGTTGTCATAGTAACAAATCCAAGTGGTTTTTTTCAGCGTTGCAGTAAAAGCTTTGGAGCAATCCTACTAGAAATACAGCCTGCCTTAAATTATTGCAGACAGCATCAAGTAGTAATTCCTTGGCTTTCAGTCCAGCTGCCTTCCTAACAAAGAACAGATGATTACTTTGCATTCCTGAAATGATAATTGCTGTGTGTGATGCTGGGTAAAAGGGAGGGTAAACATTTGCCCTGGGAGCACCTAATCAGACACTGAAGTGTTCATTAGAAAGAAAACCCCCCAGCAGGGTCCTCCCTGCCAGATTCCACTGCAAATTGCACTGGGCAGTGACTGGAAAGTGTCCCACAGCCTTGGACAGTGGATGGATAGAGTCACTCAACTGGTCTGGAGCTGTTGAAGAGAAACCCACACAGCCACCCCCCAGTTTTTTAAAAAGCAAAGCTTTGATACCTCAATTTACAAACAAGTTTGGGCTGTGTGTGTTCTTCAGACAAGGGAGAGGTGGGATGTGGCCTGAGTTGTGGCTAGTCATGTCAGTGGGGAAACATCTGCAGGAATATCTGCAGGAGACAAGTTGCAGCAAAGAAGGTTCTGCCAGGAGTTGCAGCAACACTGGTCAGAATTCAGGTGCTTTATGATCTCAAAATGTCTGCAGATTTAAGTGCACAGCAGCAGGGATTTGGATAACAACAAAGGATTCTCCATGCCATGAACATGCTGGGAAGCTTGTTAACCAAAGGCACAAGGGAAGCAAGCTGTTCTTTGTGCCAGGGTGTTTGGGTGCATTCCTGCAGACAGCTAGGATTGCTTTCCAATGTAAGATGAAATTGTAGGTGCTGGGATTCATTGGGAATGCAGAAAAGCAAGGAGGTACCCCATGATGAGCATAAGTGTGGCTGGTTTGTGGTGCTGATGTGCTGGAACAGGAGCATTAATACCCTTTAAACCTAAGATATCTTTTAATGACTGTTTCCCACTGTTTTCCAGGGGCAGTTCTATGGAGGCAATCCAGTGACTTTGGAGCTAATTATACTGTGCTGACTCCTTTGTCAGTGATTCCAGATATGGATAATGATGGAGTTGAGGACCTGATAATCTTTATTACTAAAGGAGGCCAGGTATGTCATCCTGAAGCTCTGATAACCTGTGGCTGCCACAGGGGATGGCAGGAATGCTGTTTATTTCCACCTTGTAATCTCAGAGGAAGTGTCCAGAGGCCTCTGGTTTCTGTGGGTTTGGGGTGGGTTCCTTCCCACCCTCCACAGATGTGCTCCCAAATCAGCACAAGTGTTTTATGATTTAAAAAAACAAAATAAATCAAAGAGCTGGGCAGTAATCCCTTCCCCCTTTTCAGTGTGCTGTCCTCACTGCATGTTCCTGTGCTGTCTGGGGAGTGAGCTGGGGCAAGATGAGCTTGCAGTTTCCTGCTTCTCTGCTTAGAGAAGTGGAAGTGAACAAACCCTGACAGCTTTGGCTCTTAGATCAAAGCACAGCTGACAGTCAGTGCTTTTGTACCAGCACTGCTCTTTTCTGATCCCTTCCCTCTCTCTGACTGTGGTCTGCTTTGCACTGCTCTTCCAGTGTCACTGTGCTGGTTAATTCTGATCTGAGTTCATTTAGTGAAACAGCTGCTGGTTGTATTATCTCCCTCCAAATATTGCTGAGAGGGGGAAAGTTATGTAGCTAGAACAGGTTTTCTGCTGAAGCATCTGCATCCCTGATGGAGTGGCACAACATTGTCTGCATGCCCAGTCTGTCCTGTTCAAAGCACACAAGCTGCAGCTCCCTGTGGGTCTGATGGGACCAGTGGGAGCCCCATGTCCTCATACCAGAGTTATGGAATCATTAAGGTTGGAAAAGACCTCTGAGATCATCAAGTCCAACCTTTGACTGATCTCCATCTTGTCACTCAGCCCAGAGCACTGAGTGTCACATCCAGGCTTTCCTTGAACACCTCCCACAGTGGTGACTCCACCACCTTGCTGGGCTGCCTCTTCCAATGCTTAACAACCCTTTCTGGGAAGAAATTCCTCCTGATGTTCAACCTGAACCTCTCCTGGCACAGCTTGAGGCCATTTTCCCTTGTCCTGTCCCTGTTCCCTGAGAGCAGAGCCTGACCCCCACCTGGCTGCCCCTCCTGTCAGGGAGTTACGGAGAGTGAGGAGGTCCCCACTGAGTCTCCTTTTCTCCAGGCTGAGCCCCCCAGGCTCCCTCAGTTCCACCTCACAGGACATGTGCTCCAGACCCTTCCCCAGCTCTGTTCCCTTTCCTGGACCTGCTCCAGCACCTCAGTGTCCTTTTGGAATTGAGGGGCCCAGAACTGGACACAGCAGTCGAGGTGTGGCCTCACCAACACCCAGTACAAGGGCAGAAGCACTTCCTTGGCCCTGCTGGCTACCCTATGGCAGGTACAAGCCAGGTGCCATTGGCCTTCTTGGCCAATGTCCTCCATAAGAAAATAGGGTTTTGCTGTCCAAGGCATTGTTGTTGCCAGAGGCATCAGAAATTCTATCTTCTCCACCTCCTCCAGTTCTCTCTGTTTCCTTTCCTCCTTGCTTTTGCTATCCCAGTTATCTCAAGACTTTTTTTTTTTTTTTTAATCTTAGGCAGCCAAGAAAAGTTTGAATGTAGCCTCTGTTCTGCAGGACTGCCTTTTGATCTGTTTTCCATTTAAGCTCTCTTGCTATCTTGGTATGAAATCCCTTCCTCCCTCTGGATTTGGCAAGCACTCTGCCAATTTAAGGAAAAGTATGTTCTCTTTTGAGAAATCACGCAAATGTAGGAGCTGGAGTGGAGCTCTGCAGCTTGGAAAGGGCTGGTCAGAAGGGAGATTCAGCACTCAAGCAGAGGAGCTTTGTTGCTACCAAGGGCTGCAGCTGAAAGGCCAGAGCTGTGAGCAGTCTGTGGAAGGGTCTGTGTGCAGAGGGCTACATGGCAGCGTTTCCAGAGAGTCCATTGACCCCTACCTGCTGCAAGCTTCAGCACAAACACATCCCAGAAAAAGTTCCAGTATTCAGGATGTGTGTCCTGTGGCAGCACAGAGGGATTGGCAGTGCAGCAAGGAAAATGTTGTGTTTTCTCTCTCCCTGTGTAAATACCCCTGGCTGTCACTGTCCCAGGGCAGCCACTGGACCAGTGCTTGCCAGTAAAGGTGCAGCTGATCTGCCAGAGCTGGTATGTGTCTCCTCCCAGTGCAGGAGGCTGGGAATAGCTGGTGGATGCGTTGCTTTCCCACTCCAGTTGTGTTCTCATTCTCCCCAGCAAACTTTATCCCTTTTTCACCTGCCAGATTTGCTTTGGGAACAGATTTCCTTCGCTTTCCCAGTCCCTCCCTCTCAAGACAGAGGGAAGGGTTCCTGCCTGACTCAGCATCTCTGATGGATGCTGTTTCTCTTGGTCAGATGTTTCACTTTTCCCTAAAGTCCATTGCACTCCCCAGACTCTGACTGTTGCTCAGACATTTAAATCTGATCATGACTTTAACATTTATTCTCCTGGGTGAAATGTTTTTAGTGGATTTTGTTACTCTGCATAAAGAATAGAAAGAAACCTATCAGCTTTTTTATTTTCTTGGACTCACATGACCCTGAGGAGGAGTAGATTAAGGCACTTAAAATATTTAGCAGAGCTACCATGTGAAGCCAAAAGTTTCCCATGTTCACATGCTGCATTGTTACTGACATTATGTCATCTCCATCTTAGGCTTGAATGGATCTTTGCTGTCCTTACAGAGCTGGGGCTGCTGTTCCACAGTCACAGTCTGTAAGGAGGATGGGTGACAGAAGAAGCAAATTCTCAGAGCAGGTGGCTCTGCTGGAAGTGGTTTTCAACCTTCCAGAAGAATTCAGAGCAAAGGTGTCACCTAACTTATGCCTGCTCCTCCAAAACCAGGGAGAGACTTTCCATCCAAGCCTGTGCTGCTCCCATTCAGTTTAACCTTGTTGGTATTTGTCTTTAATCCTTTCCCTGGGTAGGTGAAGACCTTCATCCATTCAGGAAAAACTGGCCAGCAGATCGGCTCCACTGGCAGCCTGAGCGTGGATGGCAACGCTCGCTACATCAGGCTGCACCTGCACTCCTCCTCCTCCTACTTCCTTTTCTACACAGGTACAGCTCTGCTTGGGAATTCACTCTGAAAGAGTGGTTGTAACTGAGATCAGGATTAGTAAACATCATCTGAGAGTGTGTTTTGCATTCTTACAAGCTGTGTGGAGTTTTCACCTAGTCAAAGAGCTGTTCAGGGCCAAGACAGGGGGGGAGCTTCTGTTTAAACTGCAGTTTGTTATGTACTGTAGTGATTTTATTTAACAAATGTCAAGCATGTAAGGATTAGGCAGTCATTTATAGCAAATGATTACTGTGGAACACTTGGATTATGAACAGATAAAATGTTAAAAGCATTCAATAGCAGGCTTGAGTCTCAAAATACCACTACAACTCTATGATGCAAGCCCTAAAAATATAGTTGATCTGACAGATCTGGAAAATCATAGAGTTCAGAGCAAGGGCAAGATAACTTATCTCTCTCATTCTTGCTTTTTAATTTTTTTTTTCTTTTTGCACAGAGAGCTCTCTGTATGCATATTCCCTGCAAGATCTGTGCAGTGCAGCACTTGGGATGGAAGTTAAGCTTCCCAACTTCCAGCCGGATCCTCACTGGGAGAAGCACATTGACCATACCACACACCGTGCATCCCTTCCCAGGTGTGAGGTTATGTCTTGGAGGAATGGAATGGTGTGTGATGGAATGGAGGGTGCTGGTGTTCCTGACAGGATGACCTGGTGGGACTCTGTTCTCTCCTGGCTATGTGGCTTTTGGACTTAGGAGCAAAGCTCAGGAAAAGGGTTGGTGTCGATGGCTTCATCCGGGGTTCACAGGAAAGCAGAGAAAGCATGTTGGAGTTTCCTATTTGGATTTACTGTGCAGGGAGAGAACTCCAAACCTCACAGTAAAACCACCCACGGTCTAAAAAGCTTAATAATTTCTCTGTCCTTGTTCAGATTTAGAGACATTCACTACCTGGCAGAAGTTCCTGAGCACTCACAGGACAGCATCTTGGTGGTGGACTCAGAGATGGCTACACTGATCAACACAAAAGATCTCCGCACTGTGTGGACCCTCAATGTGTCCCATGCTTTGAGGTAATGTTCTCAGTGTGGGCTAGATGTGGCATTTCCAGGTTCCCAGCAACAGCAGCGTCCTGACAGATGCAGTTTTTTATTATTTTTTTTTCCTGGGTCATATCTTGATCTTGTTTATTGTGTTGTGTCCTCCTCAAGTGCTGGGAGCTGCTTCAGGATGGAGGAGCTCAGAGCTTTGATTCCTCATGCCTGCTGTGATGTGGCTGGGCTCAGATTTGGGGTGGTACCAGGCCAACCCAATGTTGTGGCAGTCAAGTCTCTTACCAGAGCATTTGTGGGAGGATAGAGAGGCAGCTGGGAAAGCAAAGTTTGCCCAGCCATGAGGGTGGGTTCAGATCTGTCCCTGCTCTTTCTCTCCCTCAGGGAGCCACTGTCTGGTTACTACAAACCTGATGTCCACAGTATTGTCCTGGAGAGTGAAATTGGACCCAACAGGAAGAAGGTTTGAAATATCTTCCTTTTAACTTCCCATTTCTCAGTATGTCACAGCTCAAGCAGGAATTGATTCAAGGACAGTTGGTGGGATGTGTTCCCTCTGGCTGATTTTAGGAAGCTTTAAGCTCTGAAAGGATCTCTTTCAACAGGTTATTGAAGCCAGCTCAGGCACTTTAATTCTCTTCTCAGCAAGAGGCTTCAATGACAGAACTTTGAACCCCTTGAAGTAGCTGCAGAACTTGTGATTTTACTCTAATGTGACCAACTGCAGGTCTCACAGCTCTGTGATGCTCTGCTTCAAGTATTTCCTCATCTTCCCATGTGTCACATACTTGTTCCCATAGACAGTGTGAGGAAAGACAGCTGACCTGACTTCTCCCTCATGGCTTGTTAGATGCCTTTGTCATGAGTTCCTTTTCCTTCTTCCCTGCTAGGTTATGATTGTTGAGAGTGAATCTGGAGCAGTCCAGTGGGAGCTGGAGCTGAACTCAGGAGCAGAGGGCCCTGGCCCAGCCACGCTTCCCACCGCGGATCACCGCTCTGCCTTCCTCTTGTGGGGAGACTACCAGCAGCCAGGCAATGAGACAGTGAGTGCTGCTGCTGAGGGCTGCTTTTCTTCTCCAGGCTTTGTGCCAGAATGGGGTGGAGTTACCCCCTTCTCACAGTGTTGATATTCCCATCTCTCAGTGCCACTGACACTGCAGCCTCATACACTGGGTGTGGGTTCCATGTGCTGTGTCCCTGCAGGAGGTGGTGGCGCTGGCAGCTTTTGTCATTTTCAGCCTGAGCCTCAGAAACTTGGTGGCTCTGTGAGCAAAGTCACTGCCCTGCCTTGGTGTGGCACTGTAGGTGAGCTGTGAGGCTTCTGGCCTGCTGCCTCTGGAGCTGCTGCTGTTTCCCTGGGAGCCTCCCATGGCAGCATTGCATGCAGTGCTCTCTGTGGCCACATGAATATCCTCTCTGTGCCCCAGGCAGCCTCTGGCAGCCTCAGTGCACAGCTCAGCTGCTTGCAGAGCCCTTGGGGCAGTGGCGGGCAGCACTGGTGACAGTTTGTGTCTCAGAGGCTGCTGAAGCACCAGCTGAGCTTCCTCCACTTTCCTTGCTCACTCTGCCAGCCCTGAGGCAAAAATCTGTCCCCTGCCTGCAGCAGACAGGCCAGCTATTTGCAGGAAGCTCGGGGTGGGAAGGAGAGCAGTAACCAAAATCCCAGCACTAGTCTTAATGGCATCGGTCAGGATGAGCTGGGCTGACAAGTGTCTGGCTGGGTGTATCCTGTGGAGCGTGAGCAGTAGCTGAGCCTGGTGCTGGTGTTGTCTCTGGGATAACGTGTGAGTGTGTGTCCTGATATGTCCTGTTGGTTGCAGAGACACAGAGCTCCTCTCTCGAAGCTGTACCTTTTCCATCCTTCCTACACTCACGTCCTGTTGGAGCTCCGTGACAGCACAGACCAGATCATTGCGTTCACTGGTGAGTCCTCTCCTCCCAGCCCTCCAGCGAGGGGCTGCAGGAGGACTCTGGTCCCTCCTGGTCCCCGTGGGTGGTGTTGGGTCTGGTGGCCAGTCCAGGCACAGAAGGCTTAGGTTGGATTTCCATGTGCTCCGTGTTGCAGCGGCGCTGTTTGAGCGGAGCCATCACGCCTGCTATGTGCTGCTGCGGGGCCCCCAGCCTGGCAAGGGGCCAGGCCTGGTGTCCCTGATGAAGAGGAAGCTGAAGGAGGATGTCTTGGTCAGCAAGGTGATCTGGCTGCACCACATGGACGGGGACAACGAGCAGTACATCCGGGACCGCCTCTACAGGATGCGATTCCAGAGCCGAGATTGAACTTGCCGAGGAGTGAGAAGAGGCTGTCTCTGCTCTGCAGCCGTGCTCTCAACAAGCCCAGAGCCTGGATTCCGATGGGAAGCTGCCTTTCTTGATCCACAGACCAAAGTGTGGCTGGCAGGGAAGCGCCCCCAGTGTCTAGGGACCCCCAGGCTGTGGGGGCAGCTGCCAGAGCATCCGTCCTCAGAGCTGCTGGGACTTCAGTGCTTGGCCACCACTGAAGTGTCATCAGCTCAGGGAGGAGGGCTTTCCCCTCCCTCCCTCTGTGCCCACAGAACTGTGCTGACTCAGGAGTGTGTCTGGAGGAAAACATGTACTTGCTGAGATGCTGGAGTTGATGATTTCTGGGATGTCTGAGAAGTGGTGTTGTATGTCTGAGAAATGGAGTTGGCTGTGTGGTGTTAGATTTCCCTTCTGAGTCAGCTCTCCTGGCTGGGGAGAGGTGCTTGGCTGCAGGTTGATATGCAATTACCCTCTCCTGGATTTGGGCCTGCTTCAGTAGTGGTGGGAGGTGTGTGGTGACCCCAGCCATGGCTGTGGTGTGTCTGGTGTCACTTGGGCCAGCAAAGCACAGGTTAAAGTGTCATTCTACTTAGCAAATGGCTTTTTCTCCCATGAACAGCCCCACGTGTCCCACTTCACAGTCACCAGATTACCTGTGTCCTCTGCTGCTTCCTTCCCAGCCAGGCTGTGCAGTGTTGGTGGGAGCTCATCCTCTCACCTCATCCATCAATGTTTCTTCCTCCCCTCAGTCTGCTTATAGGTGGTGAGAGATCCCCCCTGAGCTCAGGCTGGCTGCTCTCTGGAGGTACCACCACCACCTCTCCAGATTTAAGGAACCAGAGGATCTGGCTTGAGTAGGATTGCACTTTAACCTTTTCTGGGAGCTGGAATTGCTGCTCTGGGAAGCCCTGTACCCAAGTGGCAGTGCCAGCACCCTGCTCATTCAGCCTTGCAGCTGCTGAGGAGCCTTCTCCAAGCACTGTCCCTGCTGCCAGGAGGTGGGCAGGAGCTCTGTGCTGCCTCCCTGCCCTTGGAATTGAGGAGGTGCTGGGTGAGGATCCTCGAGCACTATTCTCTCTGCCCAGCCTGGTATCCCAAGGGGATGGCCCAGGCTGCTGTGTGGGTATGACGTGTTTCTCCTGGAGATTCATGTAGCACTGTGAGGTGTTTGCTCTGCCCTGTCCTGATGGGTGCCAATGCAGGCTGTAGAAACAAGGTGCAGAGCCTTGAAAACAGTGTCTTGGTTTGAAAAAGACAGGTGTCTGCTAAGGCAGAAACCTCCCTTGAAATAAATAAAAATACAAACCTCCCCCCACTCCAAATTATTATAATCTTGAAATCAAGGTGCTTTCAGGCAAAGATACAGGAATGGGAATAACAGTTCTTTACTAAAGAAATTAAAATAAAAATGCAGTAGTACAAGAAAAGAAAACCAAGAAAAAACAACCCACTGACAGAGTCAGAATACAACCTGACACCCTGTTGGTCAGGGTGTTGGTAGCAATCCAGTTAAATGGTGGCTGCAGTCCTCCTGGAGGGACAAATGTGGTTCTGTTGAAGCAATGATCCCATAGAATGGCGTAGTTTTCCTCTGAAGGTCTGGAGGTGTAGATGGGTCTGCTCTCTCCTCTGGGAATCCAGTGGAGAAAGGCTGCTGTGGTGTTAAAAGGCTCCAATTACATCCAGGTAGGAATGCTTGGCTCCTCCCCTGTGTGCAGCATCTCACGATGGGTTGGTGGAATTTTATCAGTCCTGCAGTGAGAATGAATGGCCCATGAACAGGAGATATCCCCCTGGAGGGAGGATGGGTTGTAGAAGAGATAAAGAACACTGCCCCACCTGGTTTTAACAGGTGGTAATAGAATACATACTTTTGGTTACATCTTGCATTGCAACCCAAGACAAACAGTTTGAACCAGCTGCTCAGTCCTGAAAATAAAAATAGGCCTAAAAATAACCTCGAGTGCTGGAAGGGGTTTGGCCAGTGCCTCCCTCCCTTGCTGAGTCTGAATTTGGGGGATGTGCAGAAACACTGTAGGATGGGAATGTGCAGCATCAGGCATCAGCTCTTCCCTTCAGCCACTGCTGAGCCCGAATGTGCCACTGGGCAGCTGCTGTCAGGAGCTCATTCCACAGCCCCAGCCCTCCCAGGCTGACAGCACAGGGAGCTGCTTCCAGCTGCCCAGTGGCTACCTAAAGGGTGCCCTATGTCCCTCTGCCCCATGGCCATATCCCAGGCAGTCCAGGCAGCCAGTCCTGGGGTGTCCTGGCCGTGCAGGGAGCCAGGGATGCTCTTTGCAGAGTGCTCCACACCCTTCAAAGCACCCTGGGATCAAAGTGGTGGGCCTGCCCCTCTGCCTCTCTTCCCAGCTGTTTTCTGAGAGAGTTTAGCAGTGCAGGGAGGCTCCCCAGCTGTGTCCCCCAGCTTGGGTTTCCTCTTTGCTCAGCACCTTAGGCCCGACAGCCCCCCGGGTCTCTGTGCCAGTGTTGCAGCTGTAAGAGGGCTGGATTGAGGCTGCCCTTCAGCCAGCTGGGGCAGGGCACAGGGCAGGGGACCCCCAGGCTTGCACTGTAGTCCAGCCTGAGTGCTGGATGTGGATTGTTTGCTGCTGAGATTCCCCTGGCTGGGAGCAAGGTGCCTGGGCTGTATTCTCACCGCACTCTCCCTCCTCAGATCCCTACTCAGACTTGACCTTCCCATAGGCACACTGAATGTTCCTTGAGGAGAGCTGGATTTTCAGCTTTTCTGGCTTTAAGTTGTCCAGTAATGTTTCTGGACAGTTTGGAAATGCAGATTTCACCGTGGCAGCTCAATTAAACGCATCAGTGCCAAACCAGCACCTTCTTAACAAAACCAGTCTGTTTTCCAGCTTATTTCCTGTGTAATTGTTTTTTTGCAGTATTTAATGAATGACTTTGTGCCTTGATTCAATAACTCAGCTGGGTGGCAATGGCTATATCACTGTGTTCTGTGTTAGTGTGGTTTTTAACACTGAGACTGTTTGGTTTGGTTCTTTAACTTATTGCAAATTGTGCCGTGCAGGACTTGCTCTAACCGGAATGGTTTCAATAAACCCTCTTTTGCATTGTTTGTAAATGGTGCCCTGCTTTGGTACTGGAGGTAACACAAGACTTTGGGATTTTTTGCGTGATCCCCTCACGGGGGAATGTCCCTTCTTGGGAGGGATCCAGGAATCCTGGTGGTGCTTTGATGGCTGAGGTGCTGCCTGCTGCCCTGTCCTGCTGCGGGCAGGTGATGGGGCAGGAAAAGGGAGAAGGGAGAGTGTGGAGAGAGGCTGGAGTTAGATAACCAGGCTGGGCCACCCCGTCCCTGCCCCCCACCTGGGGCTCTGTGACCTGGTTTTACACCCCAGATACCCTCTGCAGTCCATCAGCACGAAAATCTCATGCCGGGGTTTGGATTTGGATCAAGCCGGAGGGAGACGCGTGGCAGGCGCTGTCTCCTGGAGCGCGGGACCATCTGTCACTGCCCGCTGGCTGCCAGCACCGAGGGCCCAAGCTCCATCCTGTGACCGAGGCTCCAGCAGCTTCCCCTGCCCCAGGGCCCTCTGTCTGCCCCAGCACAGAGCTGAGAATGCCCCTTGCTCCGTGCCAGGCTCTGTGGCAGGGAAGGATGCCATCCTCGGTGTTTGTTAGCCAGGATCCAGGATGGCGCCTCTTGGTCCATCTGGGGCTGGAGCTGTCCCCAGCTCTGCTGTGTTGGGTACGTGTGGAGCAGGCTGGGCTCCAGGGCTGAGCACTGCTGGGCATCAGCCCCCCTCTCCTTTATGTAACCACCAGCGATAATCCTCTGCAGCAGGGGAATAATCCTGCCGTGCGATCCCCAGCCTCTGCTCAGATTAACAATCCCTGGGCAGGGAGAGTGGCTCAGCTGCCAGCCCTGCTCCTGGTGCCCCTGCCAGCCCACAGGGCTGCGTCACTCCAGCCCCACTCCAGGGGCCTTTCTGTCCCCCTGGGGTGTAGGTGGCACACGGGTGATGCCTGCTGTGCCAGCTCAGCCGTGCCAGGCTGGTGCTGCCCCTGGGAGCAAGCACATCTGTGGGTGATGGCTGTGCCATGGGCACACGTTTGGGGGGGCAGGTCCCCTCCCGGGCTCTGCACCCTTGCTGGCTGCTGCAGGCGCGGGAGGACATCGCTTCCAGCCTGGAGAAGTGGGCAGCACTTTGTGCACCTCCCACCCTGCCAGTGCCGCCCTGGCCCCGCTCCCCAAAAACCACGGGAGCCTCAGTGTTTCCCCACGGGGGTTTTACTGTGTCGTGGCCGGGTGGGAGGAGGGGGTGACCCCGCACCAGGCCGGCTGGGTGCGGCCTCCCCGAGGGGCGGGAGGGTGTGGGGATGTGAGCGGGGGCTGCGGCGGGGTCAGCCTGGCTCCGGAGCTCCCCGGGGGGAATATGGCTTCTGTCCTCCAGTGCTA